TCGTTGTAAAATAGCTTTATATGAAAGGGAAAATAAATGCCCCGCAGTGCGCATCTTTCTCTCCTGGTGTAAAGAGAGCAGAGCGCACTCACAAAATGAAGGAATGTGATGTGCTTCTCTACTATGAGCCTGGACTCCTGCTTTGCTTAGAAGATCCAGGTTTTTCCAGCTGCAGCTGGCATCATTGCGTATGCCTGGCTTGCATTCCATGGGTCTGAGGGCCAGCAAACTGAATCAGCAAATAAAGGCTCAGTTGTGCCTCAGTTTTCATTCTGGTAAAAACTTTATGTGAAAAGAACCCAGTGAGTGGAGGGAAAAATCAATGCAGAGTATTTCATTTTAATGCTGGGGAATGTCGACTTGAACCCAAAGCTGTTGGCACTTCTTTGTCCCCTTGTGACAACAGTCAGCATGTCCTGTAGCTATTCTATCTATCGGATTGTTTCACTGGCAGTTTGGAAGGTGACACAATTGTAAGCAAACACTAATCATTTTATGGAGATTCTTAATGGTTAAGTTACTTATTCTATAGGTCCCAGACAATATGTGTGTTCATCGCAAAGATGAACAAAGGGAGACAAAGGAAAATGAATTACACTCTCCACAGATAAATGGAAGTTTACAAGTTTATAAGTCAATGACACCTAAGCACGTGGATCCCCAAGTTTATCTGGACAACATGTCACAACTTGTAATCACATGGTATGATGTAGTCTCCAATCCTCAGGCAGTCTGGTATCCTACCAGCCACGACACCTGCAACTACAGCTTCTAACTGGTTACAGGGACCTTTGTCTGTTCTGTTTACTCAGTCCAGGGACCTTCGTCTTCCCCACATTATCTTCCAGACCTTAGGTTTGGATTAAATGCTGCACACAAGACTGTCTCCATTTGCCTATGGAAGCCATCTCTCTGGAAGGATTTTATGGAGATGTCTTATGCTCGGTCGAGACAGCTAGAATTTCCTTTAGTTGGTAAGACTATGTAACTCATATAACAGAGTCCATAATTACAACATCAACTACCCTGCAGACATTCAACCACAAGTCATTACCCTCAGTCCATCAGTTCTCATTTCTGCTGTCAAGGATTACACGGGTCTCAAAAATAGGGCAGTAAGAGCAAGATGCTGATACTTCACAGCTTAAGAATCTTTTCTGGGCAGAACACCTGTACTCTGAATCCTTTTACCTTTTTTAATAGACATGGAATTATAACTTGAAAGAGTGGGATTATTGCATTAATAGGATAATTCCAAGTGCATGGCGGTGAGCAGATACTAAGTTTACAAAAACAAAACAAAACAATAAAAAACCCAAGCCACTAATGTTTACCATTAAAATCAAACTCAGAATATGAGTTTGTTGGGGAAGTCCTGTGCATTTGTCAATAAAGCACTGTCTGGCCAATAGGGAATCTAGATAGGAGGGACTAGGAGTCCAGAAGGACTCTGGGTAAGAGAAACACAAGAGTTCGAGATGTAACGCCATGGGGTAGGAGGCCCGGGAATTTCTCCGGTAAGAGACATACTTAGATTAACAATTATATAGTTTTTCCTTTAAAATGTTTTAGGATAGATATGATAGTGCATTATTAGAAGCCTAGCACCTGGGATAATGAGTCATGAGGATAGAGAACTTAAGGCATGATATAATCAAAACTGTAACACTATTCATAGTTGACATTGCTCTATCATTTCCTATTATTGGCTGCCCTTTTTTCTGGTTTGGATATACCAATAATGGTAGCCTCATAAAGTGAACTGAGAATTCTAACATCATGAAATGACTTGAGAATTATTTTCTCTTTGATTATTAGCATTGCTGTTATCTTTTTTTAAAAAGTTTGATTTGATTCACTAGAGGACATCATTTGGAGTTGAAGTTTTCATTATTAGATGCCCCCCAAAAAAGAATTCAATTTCTGTTATGGCTATAAGACCTTTTGAGTTTCAGTCGTTTATGTCTTTCAAAGAATCCTTTGTGTATATTTTCAAATGCGTTGGTATGGAGTTGTTGGTGACACTTAAGTGGGGTCCTGACTCGAAGCCAGGGGACATGACTGTCCACTGATGCTCAGAGCAGCATGTGCTCTAGCAATAGTGCAGATGATGTGAGACGCTCACACAGCTCCTGATGGAGAAGCACACACCACATGCTCTGCTGTCGATCTTCTCTTTCTGTTTTGCACATTACCAATTATCCACACTCAAGGACTTGAAAATGAGGCGCTTAAGCTCATAGTGGCATTGCAGCCAGTTGAGAGAAATTGTATCTCTAGCAGACATGCCTACAAATCCCACCTCTTGTCTGGTATCCCCTAGAGGACACAAGGCTTACTATCCCAAGAAATAGCGCAGGAGCTTGGAAGATCACAGGTGCTAGCACCCTGCTTCTGACTTACTTCTCAGGTTTTCCCCATGGTGAGATACATCCAGACAAGGGAAAGAAGCCCTAGCTTTAAAGTGCTCTCACCAAGTGTGAACACTCTTGTGAATCCTTGATGTGACTTCAGGGAAACAATACCTGTCATAGTGACATAGAAGACATTTCCAAATGGCCTCAATTTGTTCACAGTAATCACAGTCCTGAGTATGGAACATTCTGTCAGGTACAAAATTGTCCCTGGGAAAGAATGCTAGTATAAAGCACTTTTTTGCAAATGTAGCATAAAACTCAATTACAGCAAATTGGAGAATAGTGAAGACATGTATGTGCCTTTAAAAACTTCAAAGGAATGATGCCGATCCCAGGGGACTCAGTGTAAAGTTTTTCCAAGCTTGCAAAAACATTGTAGTGTGAAATCTGTCAGATTAACATTTTCTCATACACATGGAAACATGTTTAAAGTTTACGTAAGAAACTAATGAAAATGGAAGGTATGATGCAATGTAGGGCAATAGGGAGGGGAGGACCTGGAGGCCAAGTACCAAAATCTCAAATGGGAAAGGCAGAACTACACTTGCATCGATGGCATGCCATGGAACTTCAGAGAATTTTTCTAGTAAGATTCCTTAAAAGTGTTTCCAATCTGGTTCTGACTGAGCCATTTGCCTAACATGGAGGAAATTTTATAAGATGGCTGGAAGCAGAAATGTTGCTCTCTGTGAATGAATAGTCACTGTTTTTCTGAAAGTGGATCCTTGATTTCATTCATAATTACAAATTCATTCTGTGGCACTCACAAGCAGTTAGATTTTTGGCCTTTTGTTTCTACCCCAGAATTTTGGATCAAGGAAGAAAAATTTGTAAAAGGAAGGTCTTGTGGCTGGTGGTGACAACTGATAGCCCTTGTCATTTACTCCCCTGCCACTCCATTCGGCATTTCAAAGGTGACGGAGGTCTCTGGAAACTAGATCAGAGTTGGTTATAGCTAAGAGAATTCCTAAGGCCTGCTGGTTTGCCGTGGGGACTTCCCTGAATCCTAAGCCCATCTCTGTTCTAGACTTGGATAACTGTCACAGAGGTCAAATCTTGCCACAGTACCAGTTCTCAGGTTCCCTGTCTGTCCACGAGAAGGAACATCCTCTCTGTGTCCCTTTCCTCTTGGCATTGGAAGTTACAGGCCATTTCTGTAAAAAATATTTCCTTGCCCAATGTAAGAGATGGACATACATATTCTGAAGGACTGAGAGTACTCCTAGACAATAGCAGAAGACTAGGTTTGGCTGAAATCTGTCCACAGCTGTGATAACTCTTGGTGACTCTTTGTCCTTTGTTTGATTATTGTAACAAGATCAAAGTAATACACTTTTGTGAACAGTCTGATATTAACAGTAAGGCATAATAGTTACAGTGCTCATAATCCTACACATCATCCCAAACTTCCCACTCAGTATCTCTGTAAAGACATTATGAAGAGACATACAATCCCTCTGTTGGGAAGAATAGTTGAAATTCATCTTAAACAGGACCCATATAAACTCTTTTTTACCAGTGCCAGAATAAGCCAAGCTTATGTCACCCTCACAACAGTAATACCCAGAATGGCAGTAGCCAGGATTTTTCGAGCATATATTATATGTCAGTTCCTGTGGTGTTACTCTCTGTACATGGGATCATATAACCTAGAAATTACCAATAAAGTGTGGAGATTTACAACAAATGAACCATAGTTTTCAAAAGAGCTGCTTGCTAGTTGCCAGTGTTTTCCCCAATGTATGTGATCTTGAGTACTCTGTGTCTTGGCAAGAAAAGTAGGGAAGAGATGAGTGACAGCTTGTGTTCTTTTCGGCTCATATACATGATTTGAAGTAGATCCATAAGCCTTAAAGTAGGTCGTCCAGCAAGCATGGCAAGGTGTTGTTTGCCTAATGGGCAATGACTTTACTATTCCCTGTTGAGATTCAGCGTCATACATCCCAGCAACAGAGAAGGAGCATAGCCAGGATGCTGAGGGGAGTGAAACCAGAGACCAGACTGGCTAAGAGGGACTCCTCTGCACTGTGGGGATTTGTGAATTCAATACCAAAGTGGGAAAACCATCACAGACCATTCATTAAATCAGAAGTTCTCTGTAGATTACAACTAGGAGTAAAGGAAATAGACATGACCCTGACAGATTAGGTCTTTTTGTGTGAGTTTCTAATGTTACACTACCAGAGTAGTGGTACAATGGAAACTATTACAAGGATTCCTGTTGACTCTCTGAAGTGGAGCATATTTTGAAGATAATGCTGGTCAGAATTGAGCTTCAGTGGAAATTACTAGAATGCAAATGATCCATGGAATAACTGGGTTAGGAGTTTCACTGTGTAGCTAAGTTTAGCCACAGGCATATTGCCAGCATAGCATTATGGTCATATTTTAATGAGACAAAGGCATAAAGAATGCTAGAAATATGGAAAACAGATACTTGGAGGGCTTCTCTGGCTTTATAGCTACATCTATTTTGTATTTGATGGCAAACACCTTAGTGACTTCTTGCTCCATGTTCTAAATATGGAATGTCTGTTTCTCATCCTGTCTTCCACATCCTCACCAAAACACAGGAGTCATTTGTGTAGCCTCGGAGCTAGGAAAGCTTTTAATCCATCTGAGATGTCATATAACATGAATCCCAGACAAGATGACTTCTACACAAGTTAGTCTCACAGCTCTTGAGACTGGGAGTCAAAGTTGAAGGGACTGCAGACTTGAAATGGGGTGAGGTGCAGTATCTGGGGTCATAGGTGGCTGACTTCTTGTGGTGTTCTCCCATGGCAAAGGGGACCTCGAGGACTTCTTTTACAAGGCCACTAAGGATACTTTGTAAGAGCAGGTGAGCTGAAAGAGAGATCAATACAGTAAAGTGAAAGAGTAGGTTAAAAGATGGGCACTCAAGACACTGAGATTCAATAAAGTAGGACAAACTGGGCATTGGTGGAGCACGCCTTTAATCCCAGCACTGGGGAGGCAGAAGCAGGTGGATCTCTGTGAGTTCGAGACCAGCCTGTCTACCTAGCAAGTTCCAGGACAGGCTCCAAAACAATACAGAGAAACCCTGTCTCGAAAAACCAAAAAAATAAAAAAAGTAAAGTAGAACAATAATGTTCTCAGCACCAGTGTGTGTGTAGGGGGCCAAGTGGATTGCCAATGCACACTTATCTATGGACATTTTATTAGTCTATGACAAAAGACGATAATAATGTCATTAGCTAGTAATTTAGAAATTCCCCTCCCTCATTTAATGCATGATTTCCAGGTTCAACTGGAGAGAAACTCATGTTCTATTTTCTGTTGTCCGCCAATTTGGGCATGGCTGAAGCTCCCTTTATCTAAATCTGACTCTGAATTTGTTACTTGTTTGCCTTAGCTGTCTTCTAGTCTTTAGTCATCCTCTAATGTGGCTACCACTGACCCTGAAGTGTCTCAAGTGCAGTTAACTACGCCAATCTCTTTGTCCCTCCGGCAACGAAGAAGCAGTCCAAGGTGTTTTTGCTCAATTCCTTGTCTACAGAATGGTCTGAAATCTCTTTCTTAAAATGGGTGGAAGTTTCCTTCGAAGCCACTTTCACTTGGAAGTTAGTTTGTCATAATTAACCTCATTAGAAGCAAAATACATGGAAGGCCAATGGTGTCTTGCATGGGTTCCCAGAGGGCTTTGTGGGGGCAGCAGGATCAGAACCCTCTTTAGCTGGATTATGTCATGCTAGCTACAAGCCCTCATTCATCCTTCTCAGTGCTGCAGACTTTGCCATGTAGTATTAATCCTTAATCCTTCTAAACTACTGTTATTGCAATGTGTAACTTACATTTTCACCATTTTTCTTGAGGTCTTGAAGAAGCTAACTCTCAGTTCATTAGAAAATATCAAAATAATGGGATTTGCCAAAGGAATGCACTAGCAAATGGAAAGGGATCCTAATAAGGTACTCTGGGAAAATTTGAGTAACAAATTAAAAACCAAAATGTTGTATTGAATTAAAACCCAAACTATAGAGTCTGGGGAGATTGGTCAGTCAGTAAAGTGTCTCCTACACAAACATGGAGACCCAAGTTCAGATTTCCAGCACCCACTTGAAGGTCATATGTGGTGGAACACATCTATAACCCCAGGGGAGGGGCAAGGACAAGCACATCCCTGGAGTTCTTGGCCACCCAGCTTACCAGAATTGATGAGCCTGTTTCCAGTGAGAGACTTGTCTCAAAATAATAGTAATAGTAATAATAATAAATGTAGAGTAATGGGGAAGACACTCAATGTTGACATCTGGTCTCATGCGTGCACTTGTACCTATACACACATATGGACATATCCACGGAAACATGTATGCACAATGTGTACACACCCCCACACATGCATATATGAATAACCACATATGCCCAAGCTGTAAAATGTATACCCATGCATTCATGATGATGTAAGTAAATGATTAAATAAATAAATGTTCTGCATGTTGATTCAACAGTACAGTATCTTGGTATATGGATCTGGCCTGAATAAAAGGCATTAAGTAAACACTAAGTAAATCCAAATAAGGTATACACTATAAAGTATTATATTAAGAGTCTAGGGAGATAAATCAGTGAAGTCAATAAAGTGCCTGCCTTGTAAGTACGAGGACCAGAGTTTGATCCTCAGAACCCACATGTAACAAAGAAAAGCCAAACTTGGTAGCATGTGCTTCATATCCCAGCACTGTAGCAATGGAAACTGGTGGATCCCTGTAGCTCACTGGCTACCTAGCCTACCCTGCTTGGTGAGTTTGAAGTCAGTTCCTGTCTCAAAGAAAGGGTTGGTATGCATCAGCAATGTGACAAGATGTGCAGCCTGTGAATATGATTAAGTTGGGGTTACCGTGTCTATGATGGGATTGATGAGTGTATAAACAATATTAAAAATCTGTTCTTACAACATGCCATAGGAGGGCACAGCAAGATTTTGCTTTCTTGAAAACAAAGTCCAGACTTTTCACAAATGCAGAATCAGTGTCTATAGAATTGTGAGCAATGAGACTGTACCTACTGTTTACCAATTGTCCTTTCAAGGTGTTGTCATTGTTGTTGTTGTTAGAGCAGTAGAAATGGACTACAAGGGACACCATATTGTATCCCATTGTCATTAAGACAGTGAGTGACTTGGCTTCTCTAGAATTATCCTTACCCGCTTCTATGTTAACCACTGTTCTATATATAGTGATGTCTGGTGGTTTTAACTTGCATTTCTCTAAGAAGATGTTGAATATTTATACTGGTTGGTTTGTTGTCAACTGGACACAAGCTAGAGCCATATGGAAAGAGGAAATTCAACTGCAACAACAAAAAATGCCTTAATCTTACTCTTGGGCATTTTGTTGATTTCTAATTGACAGAGGAGGGTCTAGTACACTTGGGGGAATGGTCCTGGATGATATATGAAATTGGACTGAGCAAGCCATGGGGAGCAAGCCAGTAAGCAGCACTGCTTATGGCATCTCCTTCAGCTCCTGCCTGCATTTCCTTTAGTTTCTGCCCTGACTTTCCTCAGTGAGAGACTATGTCCTGGAACTGTGAGATGAAATAAGCCCTTTCTTTCTCAAGTCGCTTTTAGTCATGGTGTTTACCCTAGCCTAGCAGTAAAAACCCAACTAAGACACTTTTGTATGCATTTCAATGGCAAAAATAATATATTCAATCAAATGCGATCTTTTATATATACATGGTTAAATACATGCAAAATTCATATGCACTATCTATGAATATACAATAATTACATACATAACAATTACTTTAAAATATGCATGTAACAAAAATAAGATAAATGTCAGCCGGGCGGTGCAGAGGCAGGCAAATCTCTGTGAGTTCGAGGCCGGGCTGGACCGACAGCCTCCAAAACAATACAGAGAAACCTTGTCTCGTAAAACCAAAAAAAAAAAAAAAAAAGATAAATGTCAATGAGAATGATATGCAGACCTACTAAACACAGGACAATGACCAGGAAGAAGGAAGAGAGGGAGAGAATAATGGCAAGAGGTAGCTATGTTCCTGTCTTTCTTTCTCTTGATGTTGCCCGCAGAATCAAATGTGGCAAAAGCTGGTATCTGTCTAGTCTGACAGTGTGCATCTTCTGACATACATTGTACCTATTGTTACATCTAACTTAAATTTTAAATTCTTTCATTTGTCTTGTCCATTCAGTCACTGACAGTTCACAAGTCTCTTTGGGGTCTTCAAATACTTGGGCAGATTGTTGTCCACCCACACATGTGGGTTTCACATAAATGTTTCTCCTTTCCTCTGTCTCTCCCCACAGTCTGCTTTCAATATCGGGTTACTACAACTTCAGCAATCCATATAAAAGTACTAAACCTGGCACAAGGAGAAAAATGATGCTCTTGAGTTTCTTCAGAGCAATACACTACTCTGTGCCTTCTGTGTTCCACATTACTAGGCAGCAGATGGCATTTCCATGCCATTAACAGTGTGTGAGATTCGAAGGCACAGATAATGATTCTCTCAAATCTCTCATTTTTGAGACTCATAGTAATTGTGAAGGGAATTTTTAAAAAGCTTCATTACAGTAGTTTTGTTTGAAATCTCCAAAATGTGAAATAATTCATACCCATTTATGTGGCCAAATATTCCAACCTTTTCAAAGCCAGGTAATCTGAAAGCGCAAAACAATTAAGAATACTCTCATTCTCTCTCTCTCTCTCTCTCTCTCTCTCTCTCTCTCTCTCTCTCTCTCTCTCTCTCTCTCTCTCTCTCTCTCTCTCTCTCTCTCTCTCTCTCTCTCTCTCTCTCACACACACACACACACACAGATAGAGATGCTGAGACATGCATTCACATTATCAGTACCTTTTTCTATTTTAAAAGCAAAGTTTCGGGGACTGAAGTTGGCTCTGAGTCTAGGAGCATGTGTTGCTCTTACAGAGTTTAATTTGTAACATCTATGTCTGTAGGCTCAAAACCACCTGTAACTCCAGCTACAGGGGAACTAGTTCTGTCTTCTGGCATCAGGGGACATAGTAATAATATGCACATACTTAAACAAAGATACATATAATTAAAAAGAAAACAATAAATCTTTTTTAAAGAAAGAAACCAAAATTTCAGAGCACTGGTGTGAATTCTTACAAAGCCCATTTCTGTGTGGAACTCTGTTGTTGAACGAATGTTCCTGATAACTGTGAGCTCATAAGATATCCTAGCCACTTTTGGGATCTTAATAAGTTTTATCGCCTTTAAATTATTCTAATATTAAGATATAAACTATTTTTGAAATGGCTTATCTTCTCACTTCTAAAAACATTCACATGTGTTTAAACTAACTTTCAAAAGACTTTTTAAACCACTAATTTATCTGGATTTAGATGTCAATATTAGCTTTCAAGTTCAATTTGTGAATATTAGTTTAATCCAAACTTCTCAAGATTACAATTGCTGGCTGTCTCTTTGCTTATCTAACACTTCTTTCTAGACATCAGAAGGTAGACAAGCATGGACAGCTTAGCCAGCCTAGTTTATGATACCAAATACACTTACAAGAAGCAGGGAGAAGATGCCAGAAATTTCTCTCCATCTTTTTCATGAGACCTGATTATGTTAGACCAGCATCCCTTGGTCATCCTGTGCTTCTCGGGAACTCAGGACAAGAGTATCTTAGTTACTTTTCTATGGCTGGGAATGAATAAAGCAAGTAACAGAAGAAATTATTTATTTGCAGCTTACAATGTAAGAGTCCATGATCATGCATGGTGGGAAACGTGGCAGCAAGAAGCCAGGCATGGGGCTGGGCAGTAGTTAGGAGCTCACATCTTGAGACATAACCATTAGGCAGAGAAAGTACTGGGAATAGCTTGGGCTTTGAAACCTCAAGCCTGCCCCTGAAACCTCCTCCAACAACGCCACATTTCCCAATTCTTCCTAAACAATTCCACCAGCTGAGGCACCAAGCATTCAAACACATGAGCTTATAGGGTATCCTCATTTAAATCACTGCAAGTAGGAAAAAGCAGTGAGTGCCTTGGTGGAGAAGAGTTTCTAAATGAGAGCTTCTAGAACTAGCTATCTGACCACATTCTTGGACAATGCACAAAAGGGAATTTGAGTTTGTGTTTCTCAAAATTAATTGTAAGCATCTCCACTGAAAAAAATGAATCTTAACAGCCATCATTACTTACCGTGGTCATTTTTAAAAGCCTTGACTATATCAGGAATTAAAATCCTAGTTGATCACTTGGAATGAGGCAACTGCGGGTGAAGGATGGAGAGGAAGGCATTAACAAGATACTTCCAAACCCAGCCTGACTGGGTCTTGTGGATTTCCCAAGTCACTGCTGCTAAAAGTGGTAGGTGAACACCGGCCTGTGTGTTCAAAACAGTTTTCAACAAGTTAAATAGGGAAATAGGGAAAGCGTGTAAAGATTACATCACAGTATGGGGTCTCTGGTATCAGTGTAATGTCCTAATATGCCGTGGCTTTTCTACTGACTAGTTAGTTATATTTTACAATTGTATCAGGACAGAGTAACAAGCTTGATTAAAAACCAGTCCCTGGGACAGCAGATGCAGGCTCTTTTTAAGTGGGTAGTAGTTCTTTGTTCTACAACTTTCTTCTTCCCTAAGTATGAATTACTGGGTCCACAAGGTTATCAGTTGCAGCTGTTATATGTACTAGCTTTAAACTTCTAGACATAATTGCATAAATGCAAAGGCTGTATACCTTTTGAGCATGAATGCAGTGGATGAGTGCAAAGCCAACAGAATAACATTTGGAGGACTGAAGAAAGGTTTATAACTGAGAGCAACAAGGAAAAATCTGGAAACAATCCCAGAGCTGTGTGTTCCAAGCAAAGAAGGCAAGAAGAAACTCATACCTAGTGAGTGGACACCATGGTTAGAGTGTGCTCAATTGGAGACATATTTATGAACATGCTTTCTCAGGTCTTGCCTCATATTTTACAAGTACAAAAACTGGTACCGAAAATGTCTGTGGGCAGAGAATTTGGTATTTGAACAAGCAAACTTTATTCTAGGTACCCTAAAAGAAGACATTAATACGAAAATAGCAATGACTGTGAGTACTAGACATCAGACAGTGCATCCTGGTCACATGATCAGCTAAAGGGAGCACTCTCTCTTCCACGTTTGGTCTCTGCCCTGCATCCTGGTGCTGCTGTCTCTCCTCCACTGCATCTCTCCCTCTCTCCCTCCATTCAGTTTCCTGTCGACTTCAAAAGACAGGGGTTGACATGAGACCAATACACACTTTCTTTGGAGGACTATTTATACTGACTCCTTGGGAAGAGTGTTCTTCCCAGCTTTGTTAGAGGATTTAGCACTCGCCTTAGATTTTTATCATCCCATTACACACTTGCTCACTTAATTAAAGAATGTGGCTTCCCATGAGACATGAGGTCATAAAGAGCTCTGGACTCTTGAGAAGAAAAAGGTAGATTAAAAGTGTAGCGTCTTACCTTCATACCCACCAGCATGGCTACTCTCTAAACACACACAGACACAGATACACACACACACACACACACACACACACATACACACACAGACACAAACCTACATACAAACATACACACACACACACACACACACACACAGAGATACTGACACACACAGAGGCAGACACAAACACAGACATGCACATAGATGGAGACTGTCACACACACACATACACACACCCAGAGGAGTGCAGACTTTGAAGGCCTTTGCATTGCTGATGGGAATTATAATGATGCAGTCGTTTTGGAAGACTGTAATATGGATCCTCAAAAGGGTACACACAGAATCACCACATGGTCTAGCTGCTCTACTTCAAGTTTGAAACTTTAACAGAAATAGAATGGTGGTTTCCAGGGCCCAGAGAAGAGACAAAAGGGACTGTTGACTGGATAGAGTTCCAGATTTACAGGATGAAAACATCCTGGGTATTAACTGCCCAAGAATATTAATAAATTTGTGCTTCTGGACAGTGTCTGTAAACACAGCTAACATGGGAGTGTATGTTATTATTTTTCATGGTTGTAGTTACTTTCGAAATGTGGGGGTGGGTACAGCACTAGTGTTTCTCGCACGTGGTCTGGCTCTATGGAGATGGAGCAGATGTCTGAATGAACCTGAAAGCAGGTGGTGGCTTGCACATAAATCTGCCACCATGTGCAATTAGAAACAAACACACTGTCAGGCCATCATCAACATGTTATCAGATGCTAGAGTGTGTCGGAGGCAGAGAGAGCAACATAACTTCTCTGTAGAATAAGGAGACATCTGGAATGAGGCCCTGCAGAGCATGAGGACCAGCTGCGAAGATGTGGGGCCTAGTGGGGGAAGGAAGATCAAAACAATGTGATGAGAGAGCCTGCTTGCTCCTGTGTCACCTTCTACATTACAAAGAGTGAACAGTTTTGTATGTAGTGCTCTGAGCAAAGTACCTTTGTGGAACATTGAGAAGATGGGTCAGGTGGCCTCATACTTTGTCTCTATTGGGTATTTGAATCTGTCACTGTTTCTTATCTTAAACTGGGTAAATTAGTTCTTCATTACTGTAACAGAACACCCAAAGCATACTAATTTTATGAAGGAAAGGGTAATATGTTGGTCACAGTTCTAAAGATTGGAGGGCATGGTGTCAGCCATGGCTTGGGTATAGAGGGCTGATAGCAGAGGTCTGGAGCATGTAGGGGAGAGGTCACATCAACAAACAAGAGTCCAGTGGGAGATGGAGGGTGCCACAGTCCCATCCGAAGGATCTGCTTTTGAACATCATCACACTATTAGAATCAATGCCCTAGCACATGAAACTCTGAGGAACAAGCAGCCTCCAGCCCACAGCACCTGGGCTCTCAGATAGTCTTAAGAAGTGCTGACTCTTAGTGCATACATTTACGTTTGGTTCATTCAGATGGTGGGATGCAAGATTCTTGTTCGCAGCCCAAAGACCAGTAAGTATCTACTCTATATGACCCAAGATGCATGTTAAATGACAGATAGCTCTTTGATAGTTATGTTATACTTTTATTTTTTGAATGTTTTTATTTTACAAATCAAGATGATGAAAGTCATGGTGTAGGGCCATACATAGTGGTGGTATTTATCTGATATGGGAATCCTTAACATCCTTCCTTTCTTTTTCAAAAGAAGAAACATTACCATCCCTTAGTCTCTACTCCTCCAGAACCATGACCACTTTCATGTTATAAGTTATCCTTAGTGTCTTAATTCAGGTAAATATGTTTGCACACAAAACCTTCTTTACATGATGCATATCCTGAAGACAAGATGACAAAACCCTAATTTGACCCAGTAGAAAAACAGAGCCCACAAACTAAAAGTAGAAATGTGATTGTGACTACAAATGAAATTGTTCTGGGGCACAGTGGAACTCTGTTATGGAGAGACCGGCAGTCCTGAGAATACTGTTAGGATAGGATCAGTCCTGGCAACACCCAATGACGCACCAGCAGTGAGGATGGAATCTTTGGTCTCATTTTGTCATCTCTATCTTCCCATCCCCACCTCAAAAGCTGTCAATATTGCACCAATTCCTCGGGATCTCTCTTCTCTAACCTACCCATCTTCTCTCTTATGGACTAATTGCCCCAGAATCATGCGTTCTTTCCACTGCCTGCTCCTGACACTCAGACACAGAAAGGACTTCACCTTCCACTGGAGTACCTGAATGAGTCTCTGAATGCGGATTATATGCAGCTGCTTTTCTTTTGGTTGTCAGTATCTAGATGAAACCCTGGGAAATGAAAGGCTAAGTAGATTATCTAATGTCTAGATGCTGCATAGACTTCTAGAATTCAAACACTAGAAGGGACCTAAAATTTCAACTACAAATGTCCTATCTTTTTTCCCTTACTCGTTAAGTTTATTTACTTTTCCCTGTGGTTCTAAAAATAGGGGCATGGAAATTACCTATTTAACTAGTTTGTCTATATTTTAATATTTTTAAATGCCTCAAAACTACTTTATGACTTGGCTGACAGAACTATAGGACTCAAAATTCACTGAGACCTCTTGAATCTAAAGAGAAGATGCTATGGCCAAGTGAGCATGTCCCCCTCACTGCACTAGTCCTTTAGGTCCTGAAGCAATTTGGACAGTATTCTGTCCTTAAGGTGAAGCCGTGTCTGTTGTTAAAAAGCAACAAGCCAGGTCAAAAGGAAATAATCATTTAAGTGTTGTAATCATAACTCAGATTGACATGTGCCATAACTCCTGCCCTTCTATAGGTACATATCAGTTGGAGGACAAATGTCCCAGTGTACATGCAAACATTTACTACAGTATATAATCCGTGTGTGTGTGTGTGTGTGTGTGTGTGTAAGAAAGAGAATGCATGTGAGTATGTCTTATACTATTTACCCTGTTAAAAAACAAAATTCTACTAATGGATAACTAATGGATAATCTGTAGCCATATTTTGTGGTTTGAGGTTGATATAGCCATAACATTACTCATATTTAAATACTTGGTCTCCATCTGGTAGCAGTATTTAAGAAGTTATAGTACCTTTGGGGCATGTGAGATAGGAAGTATAGACCACTGGAGATGAGGGTTCTAACCCAGACCCACTTCTGGCTAGAGCTTGATGTTTCCTGATCTCCATGATGCAAGAGTTGTGGCCACTCATATCCTTACTATGCCTCCCTCACCACACCTTCCCATGTACCCTGAAACATAATCCACAGTAAACCCTTCCTGCTTCTGTCAGGTTTTGTGACAGTGATTAGAACAGTTAAAGAAACCATTCTGTAGCTTTAATCCATTTGTTGAGGCCCATGTACTACAGATCAAACTGTGAGTCTGATTCTTTGGTGTTGGTGTAGAAATGTGCAAATTCAGTCTGGAGTTAGTCATGGTATTGATTGGAAGGGATGCAATACTGGTGGTGATATGAAATAGTTTGCTTTTTGTAAGCACCTGTGGGAAGTTATTATCAAGTTTCTGATGGCACCAACTAGGCCTAAGCTAAGGATGAAGAGGCCTTTTCCAGTTGAAATCTTCTACTCAGGTTAACCCCAAAATATCCAGCTTATAGGATGAGCTTTTCATTCCATTATTTCTATATAGAAATCTGCATTGTCATCTAGGGCTGCAAAAACATTTTCAGGACGTTTTAGGCTTATAAATGAAGTATAATACTTCATCCTCTTTTGATTTTTTGTAGATTTTACTTTGGTTGGCATTATTAATTGTACATGGTAATGTATTCATGAACTTCTTATATGCTTTATTTTTCTCCTAATTAGTATGTGTTATTTGTACATATTGACATATTCCAATATGATCTTTCA